TAGCAACTGAAAGCCAGAGCCTCACCTGCGGAAACAAGAGGTTAGGAGTGACAGCCTGTGCCACCAATCAGCGTTCCCTGCTCAATGAAGAAAAAAAGTCAAACCTGAACTCTCGATAACCCGGGTAGGAACCAATGAAAAAAGGGGACAGAGGCGAGGCCGCAAGAATTAGCCAATTGCCGAGCGGGATTGATAACGTTGTCACAGACGAGCCCGATCATAGCGAGAGATAGGCATTCAATACAGCAGCCCTGGCTGAGGGGGAGCCAGTGAGGTGTGCTTTGGCTGGCGGGCGGCTGCGCATGCGCGCCCGTGTGGCCTGGGTTCCCGGCTGCGGGTGGCTTGTGAGCCCCTGGGCCGAGGCAGGGGCCCCCAGCCCGGGGCCATGGCGGCGAACGAGGACCAGGAGGTGAGACGCCGACCCTCTGGGGGACCGAAACTGCCCCCGACTCCGGGCTGTGCCCGCCTGGCGATCGCGGATTAACTTTAACCCCCCCCCCATAACCCCGCCTCGGAAAGCGGGTGCAGAACAAGCCCCGGGAGCGGGGTTCGCCAGCCTGACCCCACACGCGCCAGCCAGAGCCGCTCCCCCCCCGCCGGTAGCCTGGCTGCAGGCGGGATTCCCTGCCGCTTCTCTGTGAAGCCAAGATTGTCCGAGACTTTAGGTCAGCCCCCGAGCATTTACCCGTCAGGTGAATCCCACGTCAGCCCCCTTGTTTCTTGGATGCCATCGTGCAGTTATCCGTGGAGTTGGTAAATTCTCTAAAATGCTTTCGTACATTGAGCATGTACATTGGGTACGCTCTGGGTAGAGTCTAGTAACTGCATATGCCCTGCAGAAAATCGTCCTGTGATAGGTACTTGGCGATTAGTAGGTTTTTCTGGGATCTTCTCAGTTATGGAATCCTGTCCCTGTAGTTCTGTAGAAAATAATATAGGGAGGATAGATACGTTCTTGAAACAAATGTTTGGCCTTTTCCTGTGGGAAGCTAAGAATAAAGCTTTTTTGTTTGTTTTTTTTAAAAGCGGTCTTCAGGACTGCCGGAAAAAGGTGCCAAGATAGGGATTGGATTTGCAGAAAAGTAAATTGTATTCAGACTAGTGTGCCAGGTTTGTTGAGGTCCTATTCTACAACCCTAAAATTGGATTATAGAAGTACAGTAATAGCCAGTGATAGAAATGTAGCCGTGTTAGTCTGGTGTAGCTGAAACAAAAAACAGGACTATGTAGCACTTTAAAGACTAACTAATAAACCACCTTGTTAGTCTTTAAAGCACTACATAGTCCTGTGTTTTCTTTCAGTAATAGCCAGGATATATTAGATCAATTGTTGTCTACATTTTAATTTATTTGTTTTTAATGAAAAACAGAAAATGTGGATTTTGGTATATCATGCTTAAGTTTCAGAGGGGTAGCCATGGAACTTAAAAAACAAGTAGTCCTATGGCACCTTAGAGACTAACATTATATATCTATAGATAGATAGTATCATGAGCTTTTGTGGGCAAAACCCATTTCAGGTGAGATGATCTTGAGACATGACCCAAGATTATCTCATCTAAAGAAGTGGGTTGAGAGAGAGAGAGACTACTTGTATATTATGCTGACACTCGTCTGTTTTATATAAAGCATTTGAAAGAATTTTAAAGTTAATATTGTATTGAAATTCCTAACCTTTCATCCACCTGTTCTTTTCAGATGGAGCTAGAAGCATTACGTTCTATTTATGAAGGAGATGAATGTTTCAGAGAACTTAGTCCTGTTTCCTTTCAGTATAGGGTAAGACCACATGGAGCTTTAATTAGGTGTAATATATCATTCATTTACAGTTATTCTAAAGTTATTGGGGTTTCAAAGTGGCAGCGCCGCACAGCTGATCCCCAGTTCAGCTGTGCAGCATTGCCACTTTGAAGTACCCCTTCTTCCCCTTCCCTCCCCCCTTTGCTGCCTCTATCAGCTAGAGGCAGCAAGGGATGTGGGGGGAAGGGAAGGAAGGAAATTGACTAGTCAACTGACTATCTGATAAGCATTTGCTTATCGGATAGTTGACTAGTCTTTAACATCCTTATGACAGATATCTTGGATAGTAATGTGTGGCATGTTGCTACTCTCAGAAAGCTTACTATGAAGAAATTTGAAACTTTGAGTCAAGGTAAATATGAACTATATTTAATATAGAGCATATTTAGGCCCTGTGCTCTTCTCCCAGCCACTGAGCACACGGGTGGGGGGAGGAAGGAGGCACTGCACAGCATCCTAGAACTGGGAAAGGGGGATGGGGGTGGGAGGAGAGAGAGAGAGAGGAGGCAGGCGGGACACAGTGTCATGTGATGACTTCACTGTCGTCCTTCAGGAAAAGGGGTTTTTTAATATACTGAAAGAGGTAACCCCACCCACTTTATTTTTAAGGTTTGATGATAAACAGACTGCCCATTGTAAAATGTTTCATCTCTTTTCAGATAGGTGACAATGGTGATCCCAAAGCTTTCCTAATAGAAATTTCATGGCCAGAAACATACCCACAGACAGCTCCAAACATATCCATGAATGCTTTCTTCAACAACACTATGTAAGTATTTCAGTTAGTAGTTCCATTTTAGTTTTATATGTGGTCTTTCTCTGACCATATTCTTGAATTCTTTTGAGCTTGTAATTGGATTTTATGGTTTTCTTCTAGATCTGTAGCTGTAAAACAAAGTATATTAGATAAATTAATGGAAGAAGTTCAAGTTAATCTTGGAACTGCCATGACATATACACTTTTTGAATATGCCAAAGATAATAAAGAATTGTTCATGGAAAATCAACCTGTTCATATTGTGGTAAGTCTATAACTGGGGTATTAAAAAAAAGTTCAGATTTAGAAAAACTCTTTATAATACAATGAAAGGAATGGAAAGGTTAGTTACTATAAGTTTAAACATCTCACATTGTTATAGAAAATTTCTGGAGCATATCTATGAGGTGCAAATCAATGTGTATGTCAACAAGATAACGGCTAGGAAAAAGTAGATGGAAGGAAGTGTAGCACTGCTCTGCGGGTGTGACCTGAAGTATTCAGTGTTCATCCTCTTACCAAAAAGTTTCTATGGGCACATCTACACAGCAGCATTATTTTAGATTAATTGATGTTGTTTTTAAATTTAAGAAATGTGCGTCTACACAGCAAGCCATTATTTCAAAATAATATCAATCTGGAGGACTTCTTACTCCGACTCCTGTAACCCTCATTTCATGAGGAGGGAAGGAAGAATGTTCTTCCTTTGACTTCCTGCTGTGTAGACAGTGCCAAAAGCCAAATTAACCTATTTCAACTTCAGCTACGCAGTAGTTGACGTAGCTGAAGTTGCCTAGCTTAATTCGACTTTTGCCCTGCTGTGTAGATGTGCCCTATGAGAAAAACGAGAGCAGCAGTGATTCGAAACACTTCCTAATCTAACACAGAGAACCAGGGTGACTATAGAACTAGTGCCAAAGAAAGTCAGTTAGCGCTAAAGTGGGTTTTGAATGGATGAGCTAGGCTGATAGCTTGGGTTTGAGCAGAAGAGCGAGGGAAGGAATAACAGAAGCAACAAATCAGTTACAATGAATGTGAAAAATATTTAGCTGATGGAAATAAAAATATTAAATTTCTTAGATAACACTTCTATGTTCTACTCTAAGTAGCTCAGTAGTCTAGAGAACATGAAGCACATTCTATGCTCAAAGTGATTTCATTAAAACCATCTCTTCTAACCCTATCTGTTAAAAGCAGCATTTCATCTGGAGTGGGAAACTTGACAAAAATCTATTTTTAGAAAACACATATGCACCAATTTTTATCTATTTGATTTATAATTTTGTTCAGAACTAGGTTAGAATTATCCTAACATAGATGTTCTGATTCCCGAGAGCTTCCATTTGAGCCAGTTAAAATTGGAAGCTTTATGTTTCATATTGTCCAGCCTCCAATTCACATTTTCTACATGTTATCTTATTTAAAAAAAAAAGAGAGAGAGAGAGAAGCCTCTAGATTTGGACCCTTGTTGATGTAGTTTTTCTCTGTAGAGAGTCTGAGAAAGAAGGAAGCATTAAATGATTAAAGGCCTAGAAAACATGCACTAAGAGGGAAGACTGAAAGAATTGGGCTTGTTTAGTTTAGAAAAGAGAAGGTTGAGGGGAGACATGATAGCAGTTTTCAGGTATTTAAAAGGGTGTTGCAAGGAGTGAGTGGTACTGGCAATATTTACACGGAACCACTTCTATCCCCACTAAGTCAGGGCATGTTGTGGGGTTTGTACAATTTAGATACAACAGTGAGAACATTAGAAATATATAGTACTAAAATATAGAAGATTAACCTGGCATTGCTTGAGTCTTGAACTCAGTTTTTTGTTTTTCTTCATTTAAATCATTGCTCGGGGGTGGGGCTGGTAATGTGGGGTTCAGTATGAAGGGTGCCCCAGAGAGGACTACCCCAGCCCTCTCCCACCACAGCAACTGGAGGCCAGGTGAGAAGCGCCTCTCTGCTGCAGCTCCAGTGGGCACAGACAGGGGTGGGGGTACATGTCTCCCAACTGGAGCAGGCCAGGCCATCTGTCCCCTGCATTCCCCAACCAGAATGAGGAATGCAGCAAACTGTGTATTTTCCCCTGGCTTTCTGACAAAGGCGAACAATGAATGGGGAGGGGATCATTTCAGCACCCTCCCCCCCATCCTCCCTAAAAGGCACCTGAGGGTGGGAGGTTCAAAGCTGGGACAGTCCCAGACTGTTTAGAGGACTTCTTGAGCAATTACATAAATGCATAGACAGATAAACTCTCTCAGATATATAGCAGACTACTTTTAAACTGCAGCTGAAAACTTAGATGATAAAGCACAGACAGCTTTCAGTAGTAATGTAATTAAAAATACTTGGAATGTCTCAATAAGAAATCTTACAAACATTATTTGTAATTTACCCATCATGGTGATACCTTAATTATCAACTGTCAGTTCAGTCATTGTTGGAGAAACATTTAACTTATACCTTTTCTTCCTCTCAGACATCTGTAGGCAATAATGTCTCAGCTGGAACTCAAGAAATAGCTCCATCAAGTAAGAAAAGAGACAAAAAGGAACAGTTGTCCAAAACTCAGAAACGAAAGCTAGCAGACAGAACAGGTTTGTTCAATATAGTCCACTCCTTTTACAGAATTGAGGAAATAATGCCGTGTGTTTGGGTTAGTTTTGTACATTCAAAGACAGATTCAGATACACCTTGGGTCACAAGAGAATGAATTGGGTCTCATCCCAGTCTTCACTTGCTTTGCTCATAAAACTACCAAACAGTTTTTCATCAGTGACAGCAATCTGACACAAAAAATTGATTGACATAGCAGTGATATGGCAATTAGTTCTGCTTATTTACCTCAGTTCCTGAATGGGAAAGTTCGCACAGAGTTGCACACTACACCTGCCGCAAATTTGTACTATGAGTTTCTTGCTTTCCATGCAGTCACTTGTCGGATATTGTGTTGACCAGACCAGTATTATGAGAGTTCAGTTCTTAAAATTGTAACATCTTGCTAGAGTCTGCCTTTTGCAGTCTGAGAGCTGAAAATAAATGCTATTTCTTCTATAGATCACAAAGGAGAGCTTCCTCGAGGATGGAACTGGGTAGATGTAATTAAGGTAGTATGACTGTTACAACTGTGAAACTGTTGCATAAAAACATTTTTCTGCAGATGTAGTGATAAATTATATTTAATCTGTCTTTTCTTGCTTTTCTTCCTACAACATTTGGATGTGACTGTGGTCTCTGATTAAATTCTGTATACAATCCAGCATGTAAGTAATTTCAAGTTTTTAGAAATTCTCTCTCAATCTGCAAAAATTGACTTTTATCCATTTCTCCATAAATTCTATGGATAGTCTCTTACAAAGCTTTAAAAATACATCTCTTCTGAAATTTAAGATATATTTAATCTGAAAGCGTTAACTGTCTTATACCCTGAGTTTAAAGGGGAAATGTATCTTTTGAGCATTTCAGATTAAGTTTTTGAGGAGATTCAAGTCAGCTGTAAATTCCCGAATGCACTGAATGTGCTGTCTTCAAATGGGCAACTAATAGGGATGCAGCCAAGATTTACAGACTCCTCAATAAGTAGAAGCAAGGGGCCGCTTCAGGAATTGTAATTCTTCTAAGCAGCAGCTACACTGTCTCCTGCGTGCCTGTCACCTCTGCCTTTTTTTCCCGCCCACTTATTAATTATTGATTTGTATTACTGTAGCACCTAGGATCAGGACTCTGCTATGCTAGGTTGGTACTAACAGAGCGAAAAAACATTAACTATAAGACGAATAGGATGGGTAGTACAAGGAATCCAACAATATTGATCTGTTAATTCCTTCATTTGCCATTTCCACTTCATTACTTCTGCTGCTGGAATATAAATTGACATTGCTATTTTTAACAAGTTCCACTTTATAACAAAATATATTTGATTAAATACTATGTTAAAACTGCAGCAGTGAGTGATACAGAAATATTTTTGTGAATGAAAGGCTTCACAATTGAAAGTAGTTATTTAGAACAGATGTCTTGAATTTCAGAGAATTTTCCTGATAGGACTACAACTGTTTTAAGTATTACATTTGATCTTTAGAAACCAGGTCACATTGCCCACCAAATATGGTTTTTAATTAAATACAAGTGAGCATTGTCACAGTTTTTAAACACTAAATAATCCACTAATGACTGTTGTAGAAATGTGTGGGATACTTTTAAAAACTGCACTATTTGACTTACCAATCCCCACACACTTTTGGAATCAGCCTTTTCTTATTAAACGGAAACATTAATTTCTGGTACTGTCTTTCACAAAGTTTAAACCGGTCTAAGATTAACTGCAGAATGTACTATCTTTTGGATATAAAATTGTTCATAAAATATGGGAAAGCGGAGTCTTAAGTTCACAGGTCAATGAAATATAAACGTATAAGCTATAAAGGATTAGTTTTGAGTCATTTTAACTTTTAGATGCATTAGATTGGTGAGTTGGTACTAGTAACTGAATATGCCTGTATGTAGTGAAAAATAGAAATATAGTTTCTAATGCCTAATAAATGCAATATGTCTGAACATTTTTTCTTTGTCTTTTATAGTTAAGCAAAACGGGTTCTAAAGATGATGAATAATGGATTTTGATACAAGGAAACTTCACCTTTTAATACAGTGCAATTTGGGTCAACATCTTTCTTTTAATAGCTTTTTGCTCTTGTTAGAGTGGAACATTTTATAAAAGAACAGTTTCCTAACTATTAAACCTGACCACAGATGCTTATCCAGAGATTATTCTGGTCTTACATCTTTCTTCATAAACAAAAACTTGCCTTAAACAGAAGATAAGTGTGACATTTTTATACAGAATGTTGAGAGAACCTATTTGCTTTCTGCTGAATGTTGAAAAGGATAGTGAAAATATGCAGTGTTAATTTATATTGTTTTACTCTGTAGTAAGAATATGGTAAAATTCTGTTAGTGAATCCTCTGCTATTTTGACCATTTCCTGAAGTTCTCATTCCAATGGAATAAAAACATTAAAAGTGGTTAATCACTTGACAGCATATAGTACATTAAAATAAATAAACTCTTTAAACAAAGCCTTCATGATTTGTACCTCTACAAATGCAGAAAGGGAACACTACACAGTTATAACCAAGGATTTGTCTAGACCTTTAGGCTATGTCCACATTGCACATCTCACATTGGTGTGGCTGTGCTGCTCCAGTTGCTCTGTTGTAACCAGTGTAGCTGCTCGTTGTGGAAGAGAGCTGTGTCTATGCTATTGATCTTACAGCAGAATGCTGTAATGCTACTGTAAGGTCCCCTGTGTAGCCGCTCCGAGGAAGCATAATTAAACCACTCCCACCAACAAACCCCACACTGGCCACACACCAGTGCTTTTTTCAGTGAAACTTCCCCCCCCCCCCCCCCCAAGCCAACAGAAGTTTTACCAGCAAAAAATGAGTCTAGAGAGCGCCTAAAGTTTTTGGTCTTGTTCTAAGTGAATTGAACTGCCTACATGTGGTGGTGACAGGAGTGGCCCTAGACTAGCTGCCAGCAACTGGCACCCTAGGCGAACCATGTAATCAGCACCCCCACCCCCAAGCCTCTCAACGATATTGCGCCACCATTTAACTTGAATTTGGCACCCCATTTAACTTGGCACCTTAGGCGATCACCTAGTTCGCCTATATGGACGGGCTGCCCCGGGTGATGATACATCTGAGTTCCCATCGGTTTGCCAGTAATGCTATTATCTGAAAGCAGAATAAGTTTCTGACTCTGTGGTTTTGATTAATTAGCTCAAAGTTTCAACTAGACAAGGGTAGAGAAGGTAGCAGCACATGACAGTTGTAAATGCTAGTTCAAAAAGGAACACGCTCCCTATTCTAGATACAATCAAACAAAGAAAAAAGTGGCTACAATACCAGCATGCATTTTTAGTTCAGCTCAGTGTGGTGGTGTCATTCTCACATGTATCTTTACAGGAGGCTAGGGTGTTTGTGTGAAGTTGTCTTACTGATAGTCAATTTCTGATTTTTATGATTTGGTGGCTTTTTCTATTGGATAACCAATCATTTACAATGAGGATTTTATTGTATGAGTTATAGGACACTGATTAAAAAATAACCACTCCCCCATGTGTTGGGAAAACATTTTGTTACAAGTTTGTTGTCTTGTTTCAAAGAAAAAACCTTCTTTATTACAAAAACAGTAACTGAATATGAAATGCCTTAATGTCATTTAATATTTGAGATTTTTTTATCTTAATAAATGCCTATATCTGCCATGGCGTGAGGTTTCTTGCATGAGACCTATATTGTGCAAATAGTAGTATGTTTAGATTTACATCAAATTCTTCCCATTATGAAGTAAGGGGTTCTTAAATTATCAAGAGAATCCTTTTTTCTTCAGTATTTGCACTGTATACTTTTCAGGATAATTGTTGCAGTGTACTTATTTTGGGGACACTTAGTCACACTTGATGTGAAGCCATCGGATACACATCTGCTGAGCTTTGTCATGCAGCAAACACCATTCATTTAAAAAGTGCATTCTGTTGCATGTAATACAACATTTAGTGAAGGAAGCGGTGTTAAGGGTACTGATTGGGTTTCCCTAGAAGATTTGTGCTGAGTCATGCTTCTGAGCAGCCCAGTACAGGAGAGGTCACCTGATAAGAGTAGCATAAATTAACCTGACAGTTTCAGCTAATGGACTTGCTTGATTATTGGACGGTATAGATTACTGATACACTAGCAGGGTTATAAACTACACACATGAATGCAGTTGTGAATTCCAACAAACTGCTTTCCCACCATCCTCCACACCCATTCTCCAGCAGGTTAGATTAAATTCACTTCAAAATTACAGCTGTATTTTCTTCTGCAAAAGCAATGGTATGAAATTAAGTCTGTGGAAGACAAGTGTGCTGGATGTGCCTTGCTGTCTGCTTAGAGAGAGAGGGGAAGATCCAGGAGACCTATAAAGCAGTGAGCTCTGGCAAGTCCTTGTTCAAATAATGAATTAAAATGTTGCACTTTGTATTAAAGTGACACACAGGTCAGTGCAAACCAAAAGCAAACAGAATTTGATTTATAAGAGCAGGTTCTTTTGATAAAGGCACCACCAACTATTACTTCTGATGGAATTTTAATAATCAGAAAATGGTTTTTCAGTTTTGAACCACAAGTACCAAAAATGAAAGTATATTAGATAAGATTACATCATCTGGAGAAAGCTAAACGTCTGACAAATTAGATACTTTTGGTTGCAAGTCTATTGGTTGGATTCTTAAACTAAAAATGCGTTTGTATAAGAAATAAAGCTAAGAACACCAAGAAGCCAATAACGCCTTAGGAGAAAGAAGGTCATGAGCTGGTGTATTTCTTTCAGGGGAGGCGATCACTGCAGCTTTAATTTTTCCCAGCCTCAGAAGGATTTGGCTTTTATATTCAAAAGCTCCCTGAACTCTCTGTTTTCCTTGGTATATGAATTTAGTTACCATGACAATTTATCTGAATAGATCATTTGGTGGGGGGCGGGCACAGGAACCACCTCCAACCCTGTCCTTTCCTATTGCTGTAAGGAAAGTCAAGTACATGTACAGCATGTGGCTTCTGAACTACTTGATCATCAGCTTTCTGTGCTGGCTTCTATGGTGTGGGCTGATCTGAAGTTATCCTGGCACTTTATACCCCAAGGAGATATATGCTTGCAAAACAGCCTGTCTTCCAGTTCTGTTCTCTTTCCACTAATTTAGTAAATGTTACAAGCCTGTCTCCATGACAATAAACTGGATAAGGAACAATTCAGCCTTGTACACTTGTTGGTTTCTCTGGGAGCTGGAAAGGTAATATCTTTGTTCTAATAGAAAATGGGGCTTGGAGGGAGGGGGAAGGAAAATGTATTTGGTATTATACAAGAGCTAACATCTTATAACTGAAAAAGCAGCTCTGGTACCTCATGCTGGAAAGACATTCATTGAGAGTAGGGATCTCTGTTACTGGCAGCTGAACTAAAACCTTGTTGGAATATCTTTAAAAAACTTAAACCAATAGCATTACTGGGGTCAGGAACAGAGTGGTCATACAACCTTTGAATTTGGTGTGTGTGGGGGGATAAGGGTTTCTTGAGTGTAGGGCCATAATATCTGGTAAAGTTGGAGTATTTTTGCAGTGGAGTGGAAGAGGAGGATGGGTGAGGAATGTCAGAGAATAGAAGTTGCAATATCCAATGTGCAGAATGAACAAAAGGAATGAAGAGAAAAAAGTGAATTTATGTGTTTCTTTGCCATACAGACATCCTATTGTGTTCTACTGAAGCACAGTTGAAAGCAATATTGAAAAGATTATTTACAACTTAGTAAAGTATGGAATATAAACAGCACTTTACTTGGTCCCTCGTATTTTACCATTATTATTTCCTAATAGAAATTATCACAGGATTGTTTTTACTCTTTTAGGCAAAATACACAATGTTGCAACTACACTGTAAACTAAATTCTAATGCCTTCTCTTATAATGCTTTGGAGATCACCAATTTCGTAGATTCATTCTGGTAGATGTAAAGATTAGATTTTTTTGTTTTGGGGAATGTTTTAGTACACTGAACTCTGGGTATCCCTAATTAGGGAACACCCATGGTATGGGCAGGGAGAGAAGAAAGTGGCTGTGTGTGTGGCCGCTCCCTCTCCGCTCAGCTGCACCATAACAAGCTCCGCCAGAAGTTTTTCCCTGCTGCTCCCAGGCCACGTCTACGCTACGAGATTATTTCCAAATAAGTTATTTTGAAATAGGCATTATTCTCATAACAAGCAGGGGTTATTATTTCAAAATAAACAACCTGTTGTTTTGAAAATTTCAAAATAATGGACTTGCTGTGTGAACGCTTGCCTTATTTTGAAATAAGAGGAGTTATTTCGATATAACTCCCCAGTGTAGACATGCCCTTAGGGAGCAGCAAGGGATGCAAATCTCCAGGAAAATGCTCCTCCCTCTCCCCCCACACCCTCTCTGGCCTGACAAAATCTTTAATCTGGCAACCCTGTTTCTCAGGGTTGGCAGATTAAAGAGGTTCAGGTGTACCATATTTCTGTGTGTTAGCCAAAAAACCAACCTTCACCTCAAAATGGTTTTCTGAACACAAAAATGCATCTGTCTTGTAGTAGCTTGGTTGGTGAGCACCTCTGTCCTTTTTGAATAATTTCATTTATCCCAAAGTATTATGTGAAGTTATTTTAGCTGATGCAGACTAACATTTGAACTGAGTTGTATACATTAAATCTTACTTCATTTTCTAACTGTTACACCTTGGTTCGGTGATGTGATGGGAGCCTCAAGGGTTAAAGCCGACTACCCAGTGAAAACTGGATGATGGTGAAACAAATGATATTTATTAAGTGGTCAAAACCAGCAATTAACAAGTAGGTGTTTAAACTAGCAATTGCTTAGTACTTTTACAGCGTAGAAAAGCTTGGGCACAATTATACCCAACTGATTACAATTCTTTGATTACAATTCACTTATATCAAATCACTATCCCTAATTCGCCTAAGACAACGTAGCATACAAATGAAAAATACAAAAAACAAAGCCAAAATAATGATAATAAAAGACCCCCCCCCAGCCAATCCCTCCAATGTCACTTTAGGACAGCTGGTGGAGTTAGTCATTGATTTTTTACTGTTACAAGTTGACAACTCAAAGGTTTTTCTTCTAACACTAATACCTGGGCTAAAGCTTAACCCTTTCACATAGCACAAAATCACACTATCTATACAATACAATTAATATGACTTACTTATACTTCACAGGATTATAGGATATAATTAATACAGCTTAATTGAGGGTCTTTTATACAAAAATTCAGTGTCTGTGCCATGCTAGGGTCTGCATTTGGCAGGGCCTGATAGGCTAGTGATGAGGTAGCATGACAATATTGCCCTATAGGAATTTTCGTGATGTATGCGTGATCCCCTCGTGGACAGGACCAGATGGGGCATAGTTAGTGTTAGACAATTATGTTTTATTACCCTATGTTTACTTTTTCCTTTGCCCCTAAGACTGGTCAAGCAACGGTCAAATGAGGCTTATCT